TGACGAGCTGCACAAAAAATCGCGCGAATATGAACGTGGTTTTGCGCAGCTCGTCAGTGAACAACGGCTCTGTGTAGTTAATGCTGCTCAATGTGAAAGCCCGCAGGTGATGGAGATTTACGCTGATTACAGAACCGGCTTTTCGGACAAGATGCGCATTAAATATCGCATGCGATTTATCGTGCAGCCCTAATGACAATTATATTTCAATTCCCCAGCAGTTTTTTCCACTAAAATGCAATGAATGTGAATAATTATGACTGAACACTCACAGGTTGGTGAGAGCACTGAGAGAAAGGAAAGCATCTCTGTGGATGAACTTGATCTGGTTTCTGCTCAGGTCTCTGTAGAGTGGTAAAATAACAAACAGATACACAGGCTAAGCATATACAGATGGCTCTGGGTAAAGATTCAGAATTTAGGACAAGCCTTGTGCGAGCTCACTATGAGGAGATCAGTCAGAGTGTGATTACTGAACTGCTGTTCATTTAATTAAAAAAGTCATAAACTGGTCATTTTACCATAGCCTGGAAGCCCTCTTAACCATGGTAAAAATTACTGTAATATAGGGCCTCCTGTAACTTACTGCTTTTATAAAACAGCGACAAAAGCAATATACAGTACAGTAAAAGTAGCACATTTTAATGTGGAAAAATTATTAAGCAACACAACTGTTTTCAACAATGACAATAATAAGAAATGTTTCTTGGGCACCAAATCAGCAGATCAGAATGATTTCTGAAGGATCATGTGACACTGAAGACTGGAGTAATGACTGCTTAAAAATCAAAATTACCATATAAATCATGTATTATATAGATATTTATATGATATAATTATATTATTACTTACAATATTACAATATTGTTTTATTGTATTTATGATCAAATAAATGCAGCCTTATTCGAGGCTTCTTAAAAGACCAATTTTTACTGACCCTAAACCCTGAACAGTAGTTTAAGCTAAAATATTCCGTTAAATATGTTCATGATACAATTATTATTATTATTCATTGTATTTATAATAATAATAATTATTATTATTGTTATGATTAGAAATATAGTTCATTAGACCGTCTACAATATTAGTACAGAACTCAATATTGAACTAAGGTTAAGCTTTTTCACAATGGCTTTATATGCATTTCATACAAATTAGATTTTTGACATATTGTAAGACTTTATGGGATACTTTATTCTTATTGGTTAATTTCAGCATTCTGTGGTGAAATATTGTATGTATAATAAGCACTTAACTGCATAATTGACAGTTTCACTGGCAAACAGTTTCCTACAGTGTGCTATAGTTTCAGGTCTCTCTGTTGTACCACTCCATGGTCTCTTTCTTGTATAATAAAATCTTTTCAATTCAAATCAATATTCAAATCAATATTTCATGTCCATTTATTTATTTATGTGGCAAGTAGCCATGTAATAAGTGGAATAATGTAGGATAATCTAAAACAGGACTGATCACCCTGTCTGGGATTATTTCATGATTCAAATTAGAGATCAAGATGGCGCCGCAAATGGCAGCCAGGACGCTGAGCTCCGCGATTCTTCTATTGTTTTTGCTTGTTTGTTCTGTGTTTTGTCATTCTTCTTCTATAAGTTTTACCAGAGACGAACTCCTTAACATTAAGCAGCACATGGAAACTCCTGTCGTCAAGTCAAATTCCTTGTGTGTGTAAACATACTTGGTAATAAAGCTCTTCTGATTCTGATTCTGATGATAATGACCTACTGACTTCACATTATCATTTCCATATACATACATTTATGGCTCATTTATGAAAATTGTGATTACTTACAGCACTCTAAGGCTGGACATGCCCTGGAAAGTTCCTCTGTCTATCTGCCGGATTTGGTTATGCTGTAGACTTCTGCAGAGCACATAATTAAAAAACAGAAAAACGTCAGTGTCTACTCATAAACATAATGAATTCAAACTTCAAGAACTCTAAGTTGCGTATGTCGCATGATAACCAAACTTACATATCCTGCAGTCTAACACAGCCCTGAAAGGACGGCAGGTCTTCAATCTCATTATAGGAAAGATCCCTGTCAGAACAAACACACACAAATGTTGAGACACTGAGCTTGTGAGGAATGGAACTGTTTTGATGAAGTTTAGACAGGAACTAAAGGATCTGTTATGTGTTACAGCAGTCAGGCTGGAAGCAGGCCTGCCTCTGGCTCGCTCTCCTCCGGGAGGTCATTAGACATCACTTTAAAACGTCCCCCTGCAGCTGGGCCTCTGACAGGCCACTGCGCACGGGCCTGTGAGGTGGATGACGCCTGACTGACGCACACTGCACTTGTGTGTGATGGAGTGTGTCTGTTTGTATTTGAAGCGGAGACTGAAAGGGGAGTGTGCGGTTATGACTGATATGCCGAGCATATGTTAGTCTCTTGAATGACAGCACCGGCTTGAAGGCTTTTCCGTGACACTCAGTGTTCTGAGTGACGGCTAACCTTTGTGTGTTAGGGGGCCTGTGACTGATGATTAATTACCGAGCGCTTGAGGCTGTAACTGGCACATCATTGGGCACTCATGGACATTTTACTGACATGTGTTACGAACTATTATGAGTTGTATGTCACTGCTTAAAAACATGCTAATGTGTGTGGTTACAATTTAGTGCTATTATCTTTTGTGTGTGTCTCTGATGTATTACACTGTTGTGTCAGCAGTATAAGAGTGGAACTGAATTATAAACCGTGTTCATGTGTTAAGTATGACTTACAGTGTACGCAGCACAGTCAGATCCTCACACAGGTCTGCTGGGATGCTTCTGATTTTGGTTCCTGTTAAAGTCCTGGACAACACAAGAGACGTGAGTCTTGTGTGAATTTTGCTTAATTTATATTGTATTTCAAACTTTATTAAATGACTGGTTTTAAATGAAATTACTAAAATTTTTGTCATTTATTATCATTTCAGGCTGTGCTGTGTGACTTTTCCATATTAGGAAACTTGGTTTTTATTGTAACTGACACTGTTTTTTGTGTATGCTTATGCCGTGTAAAATAAACTCACAGGCTTTCTAGATTTATTGTTCCAGTCAGGCTGGGGAAATCTTGCATCATACTGGCACCACGCAGCATTCTGAAATATATAATGAATTAAAGAAAATGAAAATACTGTGTTCATTAATTCAACATAAAAAGAAAAGCTTAGCAGAAACTTTGACTGGCTCTTTTCCATATAATGAAAGTAAATGGGAATGCTGTAAAGCTCCAAATGAAGGGGGAAAACACTATGATATATAGTTTATTAAATGGAAAAGTGCAATATACAAAAATAACTAAAAACCTTCTTTATCGTTTCATGGAAAGAAAAAAAAAATCATACTAGTTTGGAACAACAACATTGTAATTTTGGTGTGACTAATTGCTATAAGGTTGAATAAACAGAAATTAACATATAAAAGCAAGTAAACACTGTAATATGCAAAAGAGCATTTAATTGACAGGTGTCAATATGAGTGTAATTAATTTAGTTCCAGAACAATGACTGAATAATGGTTCTGCTTACAAAGAGTGCAAGTCTGACAGGTTCTGGAAAGCAGTGGTTCCCACGAAGGAGAGCGGGTTGTCAAAAAGATGGCTGCAGACACAGATATAATGGATGTTTATAGCCAACAAAATAAATAAATAAATCACAATATTTCAGCTAGACTGTGTGTGTGTGTTCCGTGACAGTGGGATCAGCGTTTGCTTACATTGTGCGGAGCAGGGAATTCCTACGGAAAGCTCCCTCAGGGATAGATGCAATGTTGTTGCTATGAAATCCACTGGCAAACAGGGAAAAATTAAACACATTATGAAATCATTAAGCTAGAAATCTTTAAGAAGCTCTGTGAGATGAGATATTTTCCCTGGGGATTCAATACTGTTACATCACTGATCACAGCTCAAAATTATGAAGCAGTTCTAATTATCAACACTAGATGGCAGCTTGGCACAAGTGATTATTTTTTCAAGCTCTCTGGATTTCAAAACACAATGGTGAAGAGGTTAACAAACACCTGTTTGGGACCCTTGATTTTTACACTATTCTAGACTTTTAAAAGGACTTCCTTTTTAGAACAACTTTAAAATGATGAAAGAAGCACCTGAAACTTCACACCAATTTGATGTCCTTTCCTCTCTGTAATAGAGGTTCATTAATCCGAAATTTCAAACTATGATATAACAACACCAGCCATCCACATCAAAAGTCAAGTGTCTGAGAGGAATGATTGGAATGACTGTAAATGAGTGTTGGAGTGTGTGTGTGTGTGTGTGTTTGGACATACTCACAGTTCTTTCAGCTTGGGCAGTGTCTGAATGGCCTCTGGAAAGGTATTCAGATTATTGAAGTTTAGATCCCTAAAAGGAGACAGCACAGATGAAAGTTAGTCACATTAGGATAAAACCTCCCTTGTGAAAACTAAACACTTAAGCTAAAGCAACTTTTATTGTTCTTTATACTTGCTTTGTACTGTATATTTAATAAAGCCGTATAATAAGGGCTATTTCAGTTGCCGCTCTATGTTTAAAGAAAGACAAGAGAACCATAACTGAAGATCATTTTTGGCTAAAAGACAAAAAAAGAAAACCTGTTTAGAGAAATCGACTGTGCTGTTTACAGAGGCCAATCCGGACAGCCAGTCTGCTGATTTCTTCAGTGTGTTATTGTTTGTCTCAGCTGCCACATGATACACAGCCTGGCATGATACTTCCTCTCTACCCCCTAATGCCCCTGTCCGGTGTCCCACTCGCCTCCCTAGGGGCACAGGACGTTGGCGTGTCCTCATCCTGTCCTAATTATGGTCAGAATAAGTAAATAAAGCAGAGTCAGCGATGGCTATCTGCCTTCCCCTTCCCCTCGCCTCTTCCTCCCTGACGCGGTGGATGCTTGCTAAACGAACTGTGGTAAGTGGAGAGAAAGAACGGAGACAATAAGGTAAAGCCGAAGGTCTTGAAAAGACTTTGTCCTTTATCGGTATACTGTAAATCCTGCTTAACTCAATTCAAGTGAAGCAGTAATGGCTCATTAGTGTTGCCGGGCTTTAGGTTGATCTCTGATCACATCAAAATACATTGAGAAAATGCATATTACTATTTATTTGAACTAACTTTTATAAGTCAACTACTTTGTTTTACACTCTAAAATGACTTTCAGAATAACAACTTGCACGTACTGAGTGTCAAAGAGGGACTCAGCTATGCTACGTAATAAAATGTTTACAAATGCTATTAAGTCATAAACCTCTACATATCCATGTTTTGACACTTCTTGCATAACACATGCTTTTTATTCATAATGAAATGCATGAGGTAACATTTCAGGCTCAAGGTTCAAGGATTACACCCTCGGCCTTAACCTCTGCTCTACACTGCATACAGGTATTTAAATAACTGTCAGCTTAAAGCATCCTTACAGAAATTCTCTGCAACCCTGAATCTTGCAGAAGAGGGCGCTAGAGCAGCAGATAACTATCAAACACTGCATAACTATACTTGTACCAACATACAATCTTTTGTAAAATTATGTAGCATGATGCTATTGATGACAGACCCACTGCAGCAGATATAAATGTAGTGTTACATGCGCTTACAATCTCTTTAATGACAGGAAGTGTGGCTGGCTACACATGTAGGTGAAGGGGAACTCACAATGTCTCCAGGTTGTCCAGCCCATTAAAGCAGTTTTTTCCAATCTCTTGGATTCGATTGTTGTGTAGATGCCTGAACAACATGGGCAAACAAGCTTTTAGAAGCAATAATTTAGACATTCATTAACGTACACACAACCAATGGACAAAAATTAAAATTCTATACCTTTTGTCTAAATTCAAAATAAAATATAAATCAGGTATAACGTTAGAATATATAATAACGTTATAATATAAGAAAAAGAGATATTCATTTCGAGTTTTGCTAAAGATTACATTTAAAAATGTTATTAAATAATTAAGTTAATTTTAAAGATTAACTTTAGGTGTTCAGGAGGCATTAGATGGACTTCAGGACTTTTTTTTTTTTTTACTTTAGGAGGCATTAGATGATGGCAAAGGTGAACTAAATATAAAAATAAGGGAAATGAGCATGCACTATTAAATATCAAATATCAATATAAAACACTACATTAAAAATTGTTATTGTCAATAATCAATAAGGTACCAATATAACACACATCACTAATGCTATAGTGAATATAATCTGAGAGGTAAAACTAATTTCTACAGGTTTTATGAAGGTAAATTTAAGATTTTTTATGACCAAGTAAAGAAAATGTAAGCAATAAATTGAACGGAGCACAACCACATATAATAAATTGAATAGAATACAACAAATCTTCATTACTTTTTAATTTATTTAAAAAAAAAAAAAAGCATGGCTTGAAAACCTCTGCTCCTAACCAGTAGAATATTTCACTGTACCTTCTGCAAAAACTACTGCAAAAAAGTGTCTTCCTCAGTAGTTTTGTTTTATGTGCAAAAAGTTTCGTAAATCAAGATTAATTTACTCGAGAAGCAAAATGTAATAAAATAAGAAGTCTTGTTTTTTGAGAAACTGATTCAAATGAAGCTAATTAACGACTAAAACAAGGACAAATATCTGCCAATGTCAACTTAATTCAACCTAAATCAAATTAAATTAACTTAATTCGTATCCCATTAATAGATGTTTCTTTAGGTATAAACTTCAATTTCTCAGAACAAAAAGACTTCATATGTTCAAGTTGCATCTCAAGTAAATGTATCTTGATTTAAGGATGTTTAGATATTTGTATTGGAAAACAAAACAAAAATACTCAGCAAGACATTCATGTTTTGCACTGAATGAAACATTTAATGCCATGACTTTATAAATGTAAGGCCTTTTTAGGCCATAATTTATGGAAGGGCGAATTAAGACTTTAAGACCAGCAGAAACCCTGTAAAAGAATAGCATCTCATCTATGCAGAATCAATTTGTCAATTTATAACTGTTCAGATGACAAGGGATGTCTATTTCGCTTGAATTTTCCAGTCATTAAAAAGATGCACTTCTCAGCAGAACACCAACACAAACATTTTCTGTCCCTGGAAGATAACTCCTCAGCCGTTTTGCTGAGCACTTCACCGTACAGGTCTGTGTGTTTGTTCAGTCTACTTAACGGATTAATTGGCCTCCACTCCTAAGACAAATATTTTCCAGCAGCTGGAATGTAATTGGTAAATCAGACCCACATAGAAGCTTCCAGAAGTAAGGCACAGGGAGAGCGAGAGAAAGAGAGAAAGAGAGAGAGAGGGTCTATAGCCTCTGTTTGACTTTGCAAGACACAAGGGTCCATTTTGCTTTCCCCTGTTTTCTCTCTAAAATCGCCCATCCACGCCACTGTTTACTTGCATGTGTACTACTTAACCATGTGCAAGTGTATTTGTATGAGTGTTTTACGAGCCACCTAGGACTACAGTTAGTGTAGCGCATTGATGGATTTAACTGACGTGTGTTAAAGGGCAACAAGGGAAGGTAAATGTATCAGTGTTAAAAGCAGGATCTTATGAATTCCTCTAGTGTGTGGGACCAAAATGGCAAAGTACTCACAGAACAACTAGGCTGGAGAGATTGGCAAAGGCGTTGTCAGGGATGTGTGTGATCCTGTTGAGGGCCAACGTCAGGGCCTGCAGGTTACACTGGTGCCGTAGGGGTCCGACGGGAACCTCAGTCAGGCTGTTGTCATCTAGCCAGAGGTGCCTGAGCTGCTGCAGACCCTCAAAACTGTCCTCAGGCACTGACGTGATGTGGTTAGCATCCAACCGCCTGCACAGATCGTGGAAGAGGTTTACTAAGCGTGATGTGGATAGAGTATAAATGAGTTGAAAATGTTTTACTTAATGAAACAGACGCTTCGACAAACACGCCACTGGGTGAGCGTGCATATTGGGAATAACAGTGTGCTATCAAGTAGGTGCTAAAACATCAGTTAGCACTCAGTCTCCGAACACTGTGCTGTTAAAGAAACACAAGCCATTTCCATGATCTCACTGCACTGGCCTCCCTTTTTCACACAGCCCAGGTGGGAACCTCAAAACTGGCCCCACTAAGGGGCCCCTTCAATGGGTTTATGAGAAAAGAGGACCACACCTTTCAGGCCTGAGGGCTAATGACCGAAATAAACAGTGCTGTGTCAAATACTGTGGATGCTTAAAAGATCTGACTCAGTATGGATATACTTATCAACAAGTGTGAGTTGCACATGACCTCAGAAGACTATGAATAAAGCGCACAAGTCACGTGGAGAATTTTCTATTTCAATTTTCTATTCTAAGTTAGGGCACTGAGATTTGGAATGGGAGCTAATCATAGGGAGGAAGGGTTTGATGGGTAATACTGGTGGGGTGGTGACTTCCTGTTTATGAACGGCTGACACTGACTAAGCTATAATCTCCCTCCCCTGAAGATTGTACAATTAAAAACACAAAAGGGTAGAGCATGCGTAGGCGTAGATCTCAGTTAGAACAAGAACTAAGCTTTATAACCTTTTCACTGAAACTTTAAGTATGGGAACACACACACACACACACACACACACAAAGTCACCTAAGTTACCAGACTTAGCTGAGCTGTCTAATGCCTACCTAGATATCCTAACTCAAACAGAACCTCAGAAATTACTGAACTGACCTCACGACAACAATTCAACTCAATTTTTAAAGGCTTTATCTTTGTCCATCGAACAAAATGACATCACAAGTCTACTCGCTTGGTGATGTGTCTGACGATTTTGGAATAAATTACTTCAAATTTATAATAATGCAAAAAAAAAAAAAAAAAAAATTGTACCAAGTTGTTATGTTGAAACACTAAATATAACCGTAGAAGTCGGACAGTCAACATGTCATAATCATTGACATTAACACAAAGGATAAATGTGTAACTAACACTAATGGGGTCCGTTGTTTTGTTTATGGATGATCATTCAAAATTTGCAAAATTATTTGTACTACCGCCTGATCGAGCACACAATTTTTTGAGATTACTGGCTGGCTTTTGGGAAACAGACCAAACAACTCTTTATTCTTGGAATACCTAGTATCCAAATTACATGTACCACAACAACACCTTAATCTTAGAAATTAGCCAAAAAAAGGAGGTTTGTATGTCGCAGACAGTTCAGTAAGTTTGACAGCTAAAATGGTGGATAACAACAAAGCTTCTCAGCGCAGTGATTTGATTGGCTATTTGGATAATCAGTAATTTATCTGTTGTATAGTCAACTCTATATACCATAAAAAAGCATTCCTCTTGCAAAGCACACTGCAGGGTCCTTTCAACTGATTAACATTTGATTAGTGATCGCTAAGCTAATCACGATTCTCCATTAAGCATAAAAATTAAATACTTTTTCACCTAATTTTGTTCTATTTTTAATTAGACTGATCTACTTCTATTGACATTTTTTCACTGAGCTTGTCTCAACTGCATTCTATGCAAAAGATTCATGTACTACACATGCATATGTCGCCTTAAAATGTTCCATAATGTATATAGTCAGCTCACTATTTGGGAACAGAAACATGCACAGTTAGACAAACAGTGAGGAGATTATGAATGCCTCTGTGTAATGGAAATATATTACAGAGGTCTTGTGGATCTACCAAATGAAAATATAAACAGCTCATAATTGTTCACAATAGCCTTGCGTGGAGTAATGGGTGTACAGTGTACTTTAAGCTTAGTCTCGCTAGTTAAATAAACTTTTAGTGCTCTCTCGGGCCATTCTGAGAAAGGAGGACTAAAGATTGCACATGGCGAGTGAAAACCAGTTTTTTAATGCATGTACTGTTCCCCCTTTTTGCCTGAGTGCAAGTCTTTAGGAAAACTTTTCAGCACTGCGAGGCATTTGTGAACTACAGTGAGAGATCATCTAAACTGACGTGTGCTTTGGATATGAACTCTGGCTCACTTTCGGCTTTGGCACGTTTGAGAATGTTTAATTCTCTGCTCTACACAGACATGAAGCTCACACAATGGGCATAATGTGGGGCCGGTGAGTGATAAGCAAACTGAATTCAGTGAATGAATGACACAATCTGGCACTGTCCCTTATAGATCTATCCCAAAACGGACGGTTAATTTGTGAATTGAATTGAATCACAATTCAGGAGTCGACTCAGGTGGCTCTTATCTATGGAGATACGGATCTGTCAGCTGCAGCTGAAGGCTGTGCATGCTGCTTGTTTTGAACGTACAGATCTAGGCATGTCCACATCAGCCACTGCCAAACCCGAGCGTGCACACGCTAACAAACACATATAGTACAAGATTCACCGAGACTCAAAAGGGTTGGGTGGCACAGACGAGAGACAGAGAGGATATTCATTTAAGATGTAGATCTCCAAGGAAACATTTGGCCACAGGAGCTGTTGTAACGTAACACATTAGCAGCTCCACGTCTGTTATGATTTATTACTTCGTAAGAATTTTCAGATCATAGCTTTAACACTCAAGAAGGATGAAGGATAATTGTTCATGATAATGAATTGCTCTTTGGTCTGTTGGCTAGGAAACCACAGAATTGACTTTTGAGGTTACAAGGCACAGATCTTTACCGGATCACTGCAAACTGTGGCACAGGCAGCCACTTGAAATTATAGATGGACCTAAGATTATAATTGTGGTTTTGGAAACTGTTTGAGTGAGGAGAGGCAGTCATATTTCTAGAGTATATCCATAGCATCAACTGCTCTAACTAGGGATGCAAAGAATGTTGGCCAGCTAAAACGTTTCAAAATTTGTAAAAAGAAAAAAGGAAACGGAAACGGTCCTTTCAAATTTAAATTCAATAACAGAATCATTGGCATGGAAGAAAAAGCAGTGTGCACATGACATGATCCAGCTTTAATGAGATTTAATGTAAACACGGGCTGTTAATGGGTAATATATTGATAGGAAAGAGGTTGAGTTTTATAGTTGTTGAGACATGCACGCCTCTCTGTTTAGCAGAGTATTCACAACAGATAAGAGCTGACAGACAAATACACTATTGTTCAAAAGCTTAGGCTCAATATTTTGATGAACAGGATGAATTCAGTTGATCAAAAGTGACAGTAATGACATTTCTAATTTGTCTATATATATTTTTTTTAAATAAATGCTGTTCTTAGAACTTTCTATTTAGCAAAAAATCCTAAAAAAAAATATGTATCATGATTTAAACTAAAATATTAAGCAGGAAAATTTAGAAGATTAAATGTAACTGATGCTGAAATTTCAGATTTGTCATCACAGGAATAAAAAACATTAAAACTATATATTTAAATGGAACAAAAATATTTGAATATTTTGGATTATTGTATATAATGTATTTTTGATCAAATAAATGCAGGCTTGGTAAGCATAAGAGACTTCTTTCAAAAACAAACAAACAAAAAACTTTTGAATGGGAGTGTATATACAAAAGCACAAAAATAGTAAAATATGAATAAAAAAATAATTGTTATTTCAAACATATGCTAATTTAAAATGGGGATTTTTTTTGGTTTTCAGTATCAGATTTCACCAGAATGCATCACTAGCTACAACCAAAAATTAATTAGTCGATCTTTCAAACACCTGTCAAAGCAGAACTGCTGTAAGTGGTGAAGTAAAGTTTTTTTTTCTGGTGTTTTCTACAGGCTTTGTTTCCACCTTGTTCCCCACAGCAATGTTACTGTAATTAGGAGGGTTTTTTTGGTAGCCTGATTAGTGCAGCTGAAGAACCTGTGCAGAAAGCCTGCAGGGTGAACACATTCCGGGAGGACTGCCCCCTTCCCTCTCTCTCATGTGTCTCTCGTCCTTGGCCTCTGCTCTGACTAAATTCCCACTCTTTCTCTCATCATCCTCGCTGAGCGGCAGAAGGCACATTGATTGACAGGTCATTCTCAAAGGCCTTATCCAAAAGCAGGCGGACTATGCCAAAACACATTACTTTAGCACCACAGGGAAAAAGAAAAGGAAAAACACACAACATGAGGGGGGTGAGATAGAGAGAGAGACGAAGAGATCTGGAGAGTTGATAATGGTTGAGAGCTGATTTTTTAAACATACATTGTCCCACAGCAGAAACAGCAGCTGGACTAAGTCTCGTTGAGACAAAGTTAAAGGACAGACACACAAACAAACCATGCAAGTTACAAAAACACTAATGCATCTGAGACATTACTATGTAAATATTTCTTGATGAAATACATAAGATCATTACTATCATAACACTAAACAGGTAATTGACAAAATGACATGGACTGATTTAAAAAAAAAAAAGCAATGCACCAATGTACAGTATAAGCTTATCATCTGTATTGGCAAATAAATTGATTGTCCGACATAGGCCACAAGCAATGATCAGCCAAACAGCCAATGATCTGAGCGAATTATGGCCTGTCAATCAGAAGGGTCTGGGAAAAAAAGCATTGGACAGGCTTGGGTAAAAAAAAGACAGTTGAATTGTCTTTTTTACCCATGAAAAACAAAAGTGTGATAAGGGAAAACATATATTTTAGGTAACTGACCTAAAACATACCATTCATATTTTCACCATTATGATAACCTTTTTGCCATCACAAATGCAGTTTGGGGTCAGTAAGACTTTAATATTTTTTAAAGAAGTGTCTTTAAAATGCTCACCAAGGCTGCATTTATCTGATTAAAAAATACAGTAAAAAAAGTAATATTTTGAAATATTATTACATTAACTTTTTTCTTATTTTATTTTAATATTTTAAAATTTAATTTATACCTGTGATGGCAAAGCTGAATTTGCAGAAGCCATTACTCCAGTCTTCAGTGTCACGTGATCCTTCAGAAATCATTCTAATATGCTTATTTGGCGCTTAAGAAACATTTCTTATTATTATCAATGTTGTAAACAGTTATGCTGCTTAATATTGTTTGTGGAAACCATAATACTTTTTTCAGTGTTCTTTAATGAATAGGATGATCAAAAGAACAGCATTTATTTGAAAAAAGAATATTTTGAAAATTGTAAATGTTTTACTGTCACTTTTAAATAGTTAAAATACATAAATTCTCACTATTAACTAGTTGTTTATTAGCATGCCTATTATTAACATATTAGCTGTTTATTAGTGCTTATAAAGCACATATTCTGCAAGACCATATTCCACTAATCCTACCCAATACCTAAACTTAACAACTACCTTACTAACTATTAATAAGCAGCAAATTAGGAGATTATTGAGGCAAAATTCATAGTTAATGGTTTGTTAATAGTGAGAATTGGACCTTAAAATAAAGTGTGACCATCATTTCTAAATAAAAGCAATAATTTCTATCTTACTATACCTTACTGACCCCAATTGTTTTGAATGATAGTTTATATTGAAGTATTTGGTCCAGAGTGGGAGAAAGAAAATGAGTGAGATGCTTACAAAGACTGCAGGGCATGGAGATTCTTGAGAGCTGCGCTTGGGACAGTCTTCAACTGATTGTTCTGAAGCATTCTGAAAAAGAAGTTTAAAACACCACCATTATATACTGTGTTCACCTCTATATCACAACACAACACAATACATATGCACTTCAAGATTTCTCCACAATTATAAGCTCTAGTATTGATTTAATATGTGTTTGTGTGTGTCTCGTTCTGAGCTAATCACGGTGCATATCTTGCTTCCTCTACCCTATCAGCTCTCTGGCGTCACTCAAATGGCATAGGCCGCGAGGACAGCTTTTCCCACTCAGTGCCAGGCCACAGCACACACAACTACACACTAACACACACACTTACAATTACATACACGCATCCCAGCCAAGAGGCATTCACAAACACATGACCACAGCAAATGAAAACTGGTCTCAAATCATCTCCAACATCTATAGTTCCAAAGCCCTTGGCTTTTGGTGCACAACCAGTTTCCCTAAATCAATTCCCACAAGAGTGTCTGGATGAGCTGTAACAGCACCATGGGTCTTTGAAACAGCCCTGGATGAGGGGCAGGAAGAGGAAAAATGAGCTTTATGTAAAGCATGGCTGAGGGGACCAGACAGCTGATAAGCTGCATTTGAATTGGCTCACAAACACCTGAAGGACAAAATATGAGGTACAGCAAAGAGAGAGAGGGGGAGAGAGAGAATGCATCATGATGAAAGGTACTAGTGTTGGGCGATATGCTCAATTTTCATATCGTCCTATCGTCTTAAAAAAGCAGCTAAGTTACAGAAAACGAGCAAAGAACATTACATTACCAAAGAACATCATCACAAGCTCAGTCTAGCGCGAGTTTATGCACTTTAAAAACACTCCCATTAAACTCAGTGAATCTACACTATATGATGAATAAATCTCTTATACTTACATCGCACGTACAGCTGCACTTTGTTGTTTATAATGAGAGAATTCGCGAGTCAGAGTTCAGTCAGCGCGCGCTGAACAACATAACTCTGCTGTTTCAGTGATGACTCATCTGAACGCCTCTGATTGGCCATTGCATTCATAAGCTCAGCATAATCGTGTGTGATTGGTTAGAACGCGCAATACTGTAAAAACGCGGGAAAAGAAATATAGGCCTAATGCAGCAAATAAGCCCTAATATTAATTAGATAGTATTACTAGCCTTATTACATAGTATTACACGATACTATCGTCTATCGGCACAACCCTAAAAGGTACTCCATCAGACACTGACAGACTTGCTGATCCAGCAACAGCGAAATTCCTGTTAGTTACACAACACCACTTAACAACTCAACAAAACTCACAGCAGGATCTACTGCTCTCTCACTGCGCTGTACAAGATCTTCTCACTGGATGAACGAGTAAGCCTGTATCAAATAGAGGTGTGTGTGTGTGTGTTGAATACTTACAGGACTTTAAGCTGATGGAGGCCAGACAGAGCCTCTGGGTGGATGAATGCAAGGTCATTACCAGCCAAACGTCTACGAAGAGAGAAAGAGAGATACTTCATATCAGCTAGACTGCAAAAATGCTGGAGAAAGGGTGTCAAAGGGAGTGAAAGTGAAGTTATGAGAGGGAAGGAACTGTGAAGAAAGAGTGATTTAAAAACTAGGCTGGATGAGCTAGTGTAAAGTGTGGAGAAACGCACACCTGCGACTTTCTTTTTTTTTAACATTTATTTTTACCTTCACTAAGCACCACCTTAAGGTCATGTGTCCACCAAAGCATTTTTAGCCAGCTGAAAACACCAGATGCTCTGCTGAAAAAGCCTAGCTGTGAGTGCTTCTCCGTTTTCAGCTGAGACTCTTTGTTTGCTATGGTATTACGGAATATCTGCTAAAGTAATATGGCAGACGCATGGCGAATGAAATGTTTCTCCAAGCATTATTTTCATCATTTTGTGGTAGTCCGGGAAACACCATCTGGTGAACACATGAATGCTCGGAGACAAACAATATTAACTTCTCCATTGTTATTCAGTCGTAGTACAAGCAGGGTGTGACGGTTGGTCGGTGTGGTATTAGTCCATGTAAATTAGGTATAAGTAGCAAATAATACATAAATATACTATAAACATACACACATATAAAGTACATACATGATTATAATTATACATTGATAATAAAAGTTCTTGAGAACCTAATCAGCATATTGATTTCAAGGACCATGTGACAATAAAGATTGGAGTAGTGGCTGCTGTCAGTACAGGAATAAATTACATTTTAAAATACTGTATATTAAAGGGGTCATCGGATGCTAAATTCACTTTTACATGTTGTTTGAACTGAAATGTGTCTTGGCAGTGTGTACACACAACCACCCTATAATGATAAAAATCCAACCAGTGTTTTTTAAAAAAAAATTTTTTTCAATCACAATAAATCATAACCACTGTCTCAGATCAAGCTGTTCTCAGATTTTTGGCAGAGTGACGCAGTTCTGCACAGGCCCCTCCCACATTTGTTGACTGACACTGGTGTTTTACCTTAGACACGCCCTGTGTGAGCTGTAAACAGTCCCCCATTGTTTCGACGCCGGAGCAGGAGTAGACAAGAATGGCTCCTAAGTGATTGATGTGTTTTGTTGTTGGATGTAATAATGAACATAGCAGTCGTCATTTACTCCTGACATCAGAGCTGCTGAAGACGCAGTGGATTACATTTGTTTTTTAAGGGAATGCGTCCCCGATCTACCTAAATGCATCTATGTTCAAGCGAATCATTCGTGATCCAGCTTCACCTACAAAAGAAATGAGTATAAGTTGTTTTTTTATGAATCTTTGCAAATCGCCTTTTCTAATAATGTGCTAGTTAGCAAGTTCCATGACGAATGTGGCTAAAGTTTAGAGTCTCATGAGAATGGCTCATCACGGAAAAGAAGGGTGGGGTGAGCAGTAGCTCATTAGCATTTAAAGAGACATGCACCGAAACGGGTCGCTGTGAACAGAGCTGTTTTTGACAAGGTAAAAAGGGAGTATTTTACACTATCATTGAGAAATTTTAATCAAAGTATGTTATAGACTTTTCATTAAGAACCTAAAGAATCATATCAACTTGTGGAAAATGGGCATCCGATGACCCCTTTAAATTAGGAAAGAGCTGTACTATTTCACAATTTTTCGTTTTTTACAGAAATCTCCAGTTTCATGTCAATGAGACATTCTATAAAGCTTGTCCAAATTTGCAATGTAACTAAGCAGGGCATAGCTTAGCAAAGGGTCAACTGCTATGTGGCTTGGAAATCATAAACAGCCCACAGGCTTAGTGCGGGAGTACAATATATACAGCAGCTGATATCTGCAGTGCTGACAGTAGTGTGTTTGATAAGCGTTGCTCTCTCCTGAAGTGCTAACTTGCTCTTTGTTGGCAAAAGCCTCTCCAGACTCTCTGTCTGACTAGGCAGCACAAATACCTAAGGACGTGTCCGAATTTGATGGTTGGAATGAATGTGTTGTGGAGTTGATGAGCTCTGATTGTACAGATATGTTTTGGGCTGGACAACACAAACTGACACCTTCTATTCAGAGACAATCAAGTGGACATCTTGAGTCAGAATTTCACATGGCGTGTGAAGGCATGTACACAGGTTAAGCTGTACTGCACAATACATGCTAGGATGTAAATTGTTTGCATTCATGCATTTTTCAATGCTGCATGTGCCGTTACTGGTGTGCGAGAGTGTTTGTGTGTGGTAAGGCAGGTAGAAGGTCCACATAACTTCACCAAATCAGGCCTGAGAGATTAACACCAGATTTATCACCCACTGAAACTGGAGTCAGAGAACTCTCTCACACTCTTCTACGTAACTCTCTTATCATCTCTCTCTCTCTATCTGTTAGGAGCATAAATAGGCCACAGTGTTTCAGAAAGAACAGAAAGCCTTCTATTTGGCCCTCTCATCACAGGAAGTGCTGGACTGCACACATTTATCTAGATGTTTACAGCATCAGGATGTGTTAACTGCCCCTTGGTGGCCCTTAGATGTATGTCTGAAATAAATCAAATCTAAAATATAATATACAAACAAAACATTTGCATTGTGATTATTTCAATGCAAAAAAACAAAACGGAAAAAAACATGCAATGTCCAACCTCACTATAGCACCACCTGTGTGTGGAAGTAACCAAACTGAGAGAAAAGTCTTCAATGAGTTCTTCTTGCAATATCAAGCTGCACTAAGTAATTTTGTTTTTGTTACTGAATTTTCCATGACTATCATCTAGACCTATTTTTCCATTGACAGATTTGAAAGCTGCAACAAACTGTGAATTTTTGGAGGACTTAAAGGGATAGTTCACCCCAAAAATGAAAATTATCCCATGATTTACTCACCTTCAAGCCATCCTAGGTGTATATGACTTTCTTCTTTCAGACTAATACAATCGGAGTTACATGAAAGGGGTCATATGATGCGATTTCAAGTTTTCCTTTCTCTTTGGAGTGTTACAAGCTGTTCGTGCATAAGATAATAAAGGCCTTCTGAAGAGACGCGATGCATTTGTGTAAGAAAAATATCCATATTTACAACTTTATAAACCTTAATCTCTAGCTTCCGCTAACTGTCGTACGCTCGTTCACGAGAGAGTGGCGTTAAGCGGATGACGTAGCACGTAGGCACGTATCACGTAGGCAGGTGACGAACGCGGAAGTGCAGAGGAGAGAGAAAAACAAAACACTGGTCACGAATTAGTAATACAAAACGAGGATTTGTAAAGAAAAATGTCGGAGGATTTCAATATAAGCCAAGAGGACACTGGCTTTCCTTTGCTGTAAACAAAACTTGTTTCTCGTGAGACTAGCATATTCTCACCGGAGTTTACGCTACGCCTACGTCTACGTCATCCGCTGGAGCGGAAGTTAGAGATTAAGGTTTATAAAGTTGTAAATATGGATATTTTTCTTACACAAACGCATCGCTTCGCTTCAGAAGGCCTTTATTAACCCCCTGGAGCCGTGTGAACTTCTTTTATAATGGATTGGTTCCATTTTTTGGACTTCAAATTATGGGCTACCATCCACTCCCATTATAAAGCTTGGAAGAGCCAGGATGTTTTTAATATAACTCCGATTGTATTCGTCTGAAAGAAGAAAGTCATATACATCTAGGATGGCTTGAGGGTAAGTAAATCATAGGGTAATTTTCATTTTTGGGTGAAGTAACCCTTTAATAGCTTGAAATGTTATATTCTTTCTTGTCTGTTGCCTTTGATGTAAAACAAAACACAAAACAAAACAAACAAAATATCAAACAAAACAAAATCAAACGACAGCACAACAAAAAACAAAACAAAAAGCAAAGTAAAACAAAACAAAACACAAAACAAAATTGGATGTGAAATGGAGCATAATGAGAACTGGCAAAAAAAATCCAGGGATCATTTGCCCACTGAGCAACTGCTGTTAAGAAGAATAAAGTTCTTGGAAAAAAATAATGATGCACCTTTCAGGGTAAAAATGTCCCTCTTTTTACAGTCCTCCTTCTCTCTACCACACCCTTACATTCTTCATAATACCAAAGTATACTGTATATGTGGATAACTATCTTGTAGCACCATGTCTCCATTATTCACCTGTAGACCTGGAGAAAGACAAACAGGCAGAAAAAGGAAAGAGAGGGGGAAAACAACAAGAGACACTGGATAATACAGCTGGAATTATGATGGTGAGGACATGACAGGGGCGGCTTATCAGTCCACTGGATCATAGGGGTTCAGCTTCTTAGTGTTGAAATATTGCCACACACAAGGAGATGGATGGAGGGAGAAAACACAGGGAGAGATGGAAAAGACTGCTGGGACACTAAAAAGTTACAATTATGAACCGTCACACGGCCTTTGACAGAATATCTGTCTCTCTACAACCACGACACAAACCCCAAATTACACAATCAACTGCTGTCCAACTGCGCTCTTGTTTATATCAACACATTTGTTGTGGCACACCAATGCGGTTGAGTTAGCCTGTGGGAAACAGAGACATTTTCTCGATCCACGTCTCTCTCTCTCTACATCGTTTGGGTTTGGCTGTGTCTCAAAGCCACCAGATTTGGCCAGGCTTCCATTGCTGGATTCTTAAGCACACACTCATGGTCACTGCTCAGCAGTCTGATGCATTGCGAGGGGAGATGTCACCCCTGATCTTTATTTGTCTGGAACTAATCTAAGTCTCATTCTGTGGTCAGTGTGTTGCCAAAGCTGTGTAGTGCTACTCCGGCGTGTTGCTTTAGTAAGCACTTCAGTGAGCAAGGCAACTGTCATGTGACCTTCTGAACAACCTACCTATAACAAATTACAAATGAACCAATAAGGCAATGCAATGCAATACATCCAATATGGCAATGTCAAATTTTCCTACTGTATTGTTTAGGACACATCCAGCGAGGCTGGATTCAGATTGGTCCAAGTGACATCATTTGGAAACCACAGACTCTGATGGTGAAATTTTTTCCCAGGTCAAGAGCTTTAATGGTGCACTTTTATATAAGTTTAAAACACGTACTTTCAGTTCAGACCTAAATTAATTAAAAATAATTGCAGTCCTTGCAACTGTAGGTCACTGTAGAAATGCCTTTACAGTATATATCATCATAAAGCAACTTTAGGCCACTGGCATACATAATACAAAATAATGATATTTTAAAATAAATTACAAAAATGTTTTACACAAATTCATGAGAAAAACATAAGTGGACCTTTAAAGAGATAGTTATTCTAAACCTGTATTTTTTTCTTTCAGCTGTTGAACACAAAAGATATTTTGAAGAATGTTGACAACAAAAAATACAATGGAAGTCAATGGCTACCGTCAACTGTTTAGTTACAGACATTCTTCAAAATATCTTCTTTTGTGTTCAACAGAAGAAAGAAACTCATACAGGTTTGGAACAAGTTAAGGGTAAGTAAATGATGACAGAAAATCATTTTTGGGTGAACTATTCCTTTAAATACAAGAAAATCAATCAGACACAATCTCTGGCATACTCACACATACACAACTTATCAAGCCAGAGACACACACAAATCTAGAGAGGATTAATATTTGACAGCTCTGTATCTGTCAGTGGGGGTGGATATGTTTGAAGAGAGGGGTGAGGGTGTGTTTGTGTGTTATGATAGAAGACTGCGTGACTCTGAGGCAGAGAATGTTCCTCTTGGCTCTCTACTGTGCTGTCACAGGTCACACACACAAGCACATCACTGCTGCTGCTCTGTCAGGGTAAATGCGTACTGTAAATAGATGTTCTGCTTACGGTGATCTTTTATGCCTTCACCTCTACATGAGAACTACTTTTGAAAGGCAATATCTGCCAGCTTATTTCTGGACACCCACACTTTTATGCATAGCACTTTACAGACTCTATACATTATTATTAATTTAAACAATATGTTTTTCCTTTGAAAGGTTATAACTATTTTACCAAGCATTCTTTCCTCTTTTTTGTATGGATATAGGCTACTTGAAGATCTTGCAATGTAAATATAGCTGCTGAGTGGTTACAAGCCCAGAAAGTGAACTCCTGACCCTCGTGATAAACCACACCCATTGTGACCACTGAACCATGAGCAACCTGACAAAGAGCATCTGGCACAATACAGTGTTGTACAGGTCCCGGAGACCTCGCGAACCCCCCACCCCATTCCCAGATAGCACACGCTTCTGAAAACTCCAGTTGTCACGGAAACCATTGTTTTGCCCTCCTTTTTCCTGTCATGCATTCCTTCTCACAATGCGTTGAAAAGCAAATTGGCCTTTGACAAAGCACTGGAGGACTGTTTGGGAACGAGAGCTGAGGAGATTGGAGTGGATGAAAGACACACGAGGGTAAGAAAACACACTCCAATCAAACGAATAAAAAAAGGAAAAGAGACGAAAAGAGCGAACAGTGAGGGGGAGTCGACTTTGGGAGCTGGTCATTTCAGCAGTCTGGAAGCGCAGGTACCTGATATCACTTAGATGTTATCTGCCCTTCCTGCAGATGGGCAGACGCGGGATGAGTGAAGGAGTAAAGAAAAGACAAACACAAAGAAAAAGATCAGTCCCACCCAATGAGAGTTCAGAAATGACTTCAAACATACGAATACAGCCACTCCAAAACGGTCTAAAACAGCACGTGTCTGTTCCTTTAATGTCATTAACACGCTACGAACAAGTCAGACGTAGCTTCAAAAGCCATCCTGAGATGCTCTGACTAACAGTACTTTGTAAGATATAAGACTGTTCCAGATGTGCAGCACCACACTGATGGTGCTGTGGGTGGCCAAATCTGTTTCCCGCTTATTCTCTGTAGGTCCTTGCACTTTTTTTGAAGGGAACTCTCAAGGTCTAATAGGAAGTGTGTAGCTTGTTTGTCTGTAAATTATTTAATTTTAATTTTTTTATTGTAATGTTAATTTATTATAAATAATAAATAGTATTTTGTGCCAGTATTGTATATGGCTTAATTGACACTTTGTAGGGAGTTTGACTGACAATCTGACAATCAAGCCGCAATTTTTGTCCGACAAACAAACCAGACAGGAGAGTAGATTAACTTGAACTTGAAAAATGGTGTGTACTGACATCTTTCCGCCAGTGTTAATTTTGACAGCAAATTTTGATTTAGTTTTAGTCATATTTTAGTCATCTGAATTGTTTTAGTTTTAGTCGACTAAATATCATAAAATTGTAGTCAACTAAATAAAGTAGATTAACATCAACTAAATAAAATAAAATAAGTTTTTTTAATATGTGACCCTGGAGCACAAAACCAGTCATAAGTAGCAAGGGTATATTTGTAGCAATAGCCAACAATACATTGTACAGGTCAAAATTATTGATTTTTTTTATACCAAAAATCATTAGGATATTAAATAAAGATCATGTTCCATGAAGATATTTTGTAAATTTCCTACCGTAAACATATCAAAACTTCATTTTTGAATAGTAATATGCAATGCTAAGAACTTCATTTGGACAACTTTAAAGGCGATTTTCTCAATATTAAGATTGTTTTTTCACCCTCAGATTCCAGATTTTCAAATAGTTGTATCTTGACCAAATATTGTCCTATCCTAACAAACCATACATCAATGGAAAGCTTATTTATTCGGCTTTCGGATGATGTATACATCTCAATTTCAAAACATTGACCCTTATAAGTGGTTTTGTGGTCCAGGGTCACATATATGTATTTTATATATTTATTTCCTTTTTTATAGATTTGTTTTTAATTTCAGTTAACATTTATTTTATTTCAATTAATGAAGAATATTTTTTATGGTTTTAGTTTTAACTATAAAAACCTGATACTATTTATTAAATAATATTTTGAATAATATTCTTAGTCTGTCCATCCTGTGATGGGGAATCCCAGACAGAAGCTACAATAGTTGTTAATTAAATGGAAATTAAATTGAATTAAATTAAATTAAATACAGTTTATGTACCCAAAATATCAATAATGACCAGGAAAAAAGCTTGAAATACACCGTGACTCTTATTTTGAAATGTCTGCTCTGCGGACGCTGCTCATCCCTTTGTACAATGCAAATGTACGTAACTAATGCATAAGACATCAGTCCTGACTGAGTCTGACTGGATATCTTCCCAAATCGTCCTATTTTCATCTCGTTTTTATTCAATGGCGAAAATGACAATATATTTTCATTTTAGTTTTTGTCATTAAAAACTTTAGTTGTCGTCTCGTTTTGGTCGGTCAGAAAATGTCGTTTATGAAAATTATGATGAAAATAATGTCAACGAAATTAACACTGCTTTCCGTGGTTGTGGAATGTCTATTTTGTGCTATAACTAGTAAAGACAAAAAGAGATGATCGGTTCACGTGCCGCTTGAACTGAGGTGCTAGAGATCTATCACAACACATTAAAGAGCCACAAAAAAATGGTATTTATTTTTTAACTTTCTAAAAAAAAAAAATGATAAAATTTGAAAGCGGAGACTTTGTTTCATACCAAAAGTAACCTGTTCTGTCTTGTCTGTTGGAGCGTTGTCAGTTTCCTCTTTGCTCCATGATGTAACTAAATGGGGCGGGCCTTTGCGAAGGGTCATTTCATGTTATACTTGAATTAGTGCTGTTATACTGAATATTCACCTGAGTGGATCTTCTGCGGCAATGAGCCCTGAAGCCTCATATAACAGCACTAAAGCATTAACAGTGATTGCAGAGTCAAAGTGTCTGGAAGTCGTTCATTTTCAATCTGAGGCGACATGAGCAACACTGTTCAGCAGACTTTAATTCATGAAAATGGAAAGTGACACAATGTGGCGGCTAGCAAAAGAAATGAAGACAATGTAGCTCACGTAATCCAACAAGCTAACACTGAGACCAGCGGTGATTTAATGGATGCCATGTGGATTTAGCTTTAAAGTTGTTTCTGCAGTTCTATAAACATTTCAAAATCTCAAAATAGACAAGAATATTCAAGAATAATGACCAAAAGATCATCTCAAATCATCGTGGAGATGTTCCATATATAATCTTTCAATGACGGTGTTTGAAAAAAGTGTCAAGCATATATAAGAAAAGGAAAACAGAGCATGAGGGGAAATAGTGAAAGAGAGAGAAAACAGAACTGATCCTCACAGTTCTTCCAGATAGGGCAGGTTTCTGAAGACATTAGCAGGCAGCTCAGTGATGTTGTTCATGCTGATGTCCCTATGGAAACAGAAGAACAAATGCTTGTAGTCAGTGGTTGAACGGTACCGTTTCTATATGTTAACACAACATAAACAATTTATATTTGCTGTTTGGATGCATTTCTGTTTGGATTTTCATTTTCTGGTTCACATTGTTTACATTGACTTCTTCACCATTTTGCATATAAAAGAATCATGGATGATTTCATACTGTGAATTTGCTTGCTTTGGGTTTGAACTGACTTACCAGCATAACTAAAACTGGCCATGTGCAGGCACTCATTTTAAACAGAGCTTTCTATTTTCTAGATTTCATGCTCATATCATGTTTTATTCAAAGGTGCTCCCTCCCCAATCCAAAAAGACCATTTATTAAAAATAAGCTGTAAAAAATAGGCATGTGAAACTGCAGAAACTAGACATGTAGCATCTGAAACCTTGAAAAAATGTAAAGCTTTTTTTAAGTATATAATTATAGTACTGTAAATAGTGTTGTCAAAAGACCCGGTACTTCGGTACCAAGTCGATACTAAAAAAATTAAATCGTTACGGTACCAGGTTTTTTTAAGTACTGGTGGTACCGAGTACCCGGTCAACCCGGTTCTTGATGCGCTATCCGAAAGGTGCACAGATGACGTGGCGACATCAAAAGGAGGAAACACACCAAACTAACAAAACACTTTAAAGACACCCAGATCAAATGAAAGAGTTCAAGCAGGTAAGTTTCATTTTAATTTTTTAATTTGAATGTCAGATTGAAATGAACGCTGTTATTAGAGTAGTTAATCATTCGTATCAGCGCGGCTAACGCTAATATAATTTTAAAAAAAAAGCTTTTTTTTTATTTTTAGCTAACTTAGTTGTTATTCTTGGCTGAATAACTCTAGAATGTTTTCAAAAGCCCTTTAAAATTAAATATGTACACAGTTTGGATTAAATGAAAGTATAGTAAAAAATTTTAATTAGCATGTTTTTGTGTTTTGCTAAGGTACCGAAATTGGTACAGAGAACCATGGATTTTCACTGGTATTGGTACCGAATACTGAAATTTTGGTACCGTGAGAACACTAGGGCTGGGTGATCGAATACTGAAATTTTGGTACTGTGACAACACTAACTGTAAATGCATTTTAAATATAAAATCTAGTTGGCAACAGATGAAAAAAGAAAGAGTAAAAATGACCCCTATAACACAACTCAAAATAGAAATACTCAAAATCCTGTCATGAGGCAACATACTGTACAGTATTTCAATTTGACAAATTTCTTTGAGCGGTCCCTCCCACAGCTGATGTTCATGCTTTACAAGTTCAAACAGAGATCTGCATGTCTGTGACGACTGATAAGACCTGAATCCAGATCAGACAGCGAGATCAAGCATCACGCAACAGTAATAGAAGAAAGCAGAGTGTATTTGATGTCATCAGTACTGCACTATGGTGATTAACCTCTCATCTTGCAAGTATGACATCAGAGGCTTACAAGTGTTTGGCTGGGAATAAATGTATGAATTTCCACCTAAAAATCTATTTTAATATATACATACATATCCTTATTTCTCATTATCCCTCGTAATCTCTCCCGCTCTGCCTCTTTACCTCAGATCCACATTACTGGCACACATCTCAATACATTGTGCAAATATTACAGCGACCCCATTTGTTTGACCCCAGTGATTTCTTTAGAATTTATGGTTATTAGTAGAGATGCACCGATTGCAATTTTCTTGGCCGATTCCGATTTCCGATTTTTCGTTAGTGTGATCTGCCGATACCGATTTTTGCCAATTCCGATTTTCTTTCTAAGAACTATAATTGACAGCATATACAAACAAAAATCTACTTTTCTTCAACGCAAAGTTTTATTTTCATAAAAAAACACAAGTAAAAAGTCAGTAATAAAATAAGAACAAATAAAAAAATGGCAAACAACAGCACAAATAAATGCAATAGAATAAAGAGAGCTATGAAACTAAGTTTTTTAGGTTAAGTAAGTTTTTATTCAGGTAAGAAATACTACAGAAATTAAAGTAATCAAATGTAAAATAACACATCAGGTGTGATTTTACATTTGATTCCTTTAATTTCTGTAATCTTCGTTGTAAAAATTAAATACAGATAAATGCTTACCATTAAAGTTATAAAACATATTCAGTCAAGAGCAGAAAATAATTTTCTTTGTCTTTTGTTCTTAGATCAGTGGTGGTGCGCGCGCGTTTGGTATAAGCGCGAAACCTGCTATATATAGCAAAGATGGGTGACAAATAGGTTTATAGAGCTTTTTTGTTTGTTAAAGATGACCAGGGGCTAATTTTATTGTGCTTTTTGTCATCTTGAAGTTTAATAGCCTCTAATCATCATACCTGTAGACAGAATGGAAAAGAGTAACATCAAACTGCTACAGAAAAATAAAGGAAAATCATTCAGTGGGTTTGGAGTGAGTAAAGAATGGTGAAACATTTCTTTAAAGTGCCCCTATTATGGGTAATGAAAGGTTCATATTTTGGTTTTGGGAGTCCCCAATAACAGGATGACATGCATGCAAGGTCAAAAAACACTTTCATTGTCTTATAATATGCATTTATTTTTACCTTACTTGCTCAAGCAGTGCTGCTTTGTGTACAGCGTTACCGCTATTTTTACCGCTCCAAAAGCGGCACCTAGTGGCAAAGAATGAATTTGCATTTTCATTCTTTTCATTCGGAAAAGAACAACAAGTGGGCGGGCAATATGCTAATGTTTCATGATGACGTCAACATGAAACGGCTTAGGATTCGTTTTAAAAACGACTCGTTTCAATTTTTCAGAGTCGACTCTTTCTTTTAAGAGACAATAACTTTATACACGGTGCACTTTCAGTTTTAAAACTTTGCAGGATGTTTTCATTCACTTAGAGCTGTGTTACACACTGCATGAAAGGTAATTTTCAAAAATCCATAATAGGGGCACTTTAATAAAGTGAAATTCTCTAGGTTTTCCCTCATTCTCTTTTTTTCTTCTCTTATTTATATAAAACTATCTATGTCCCTCCTTTTCTCCCTAAGGCTCCGAAGCTCTGAGCATAGAGAGAGACAGAGAGAAAGAGAGAGAGAGAGAGAGAGAGAGAGAGAGAGAGAGAGGAGGCTGTCAAGGAGACGGAGAGATAGCATGTAGCAGCATGACAAAAATGCAGGCAGTACACAAAGTGTTTTCCTCTCTCTCTTTCTCTTTTCCATTTGGGCTGAAAGGTGAAGTGTGTGGGCAGCTAGAAAAGCAAATGGTAGATCCGCAGCGAGAGAGGTCAGAACACTGACCTTAAAACACCCGCCGTTAGAGATGCCACAACACAAACTCGCAGAGAGGAAATGAGAACCAGTGCATGTAAATCATAATAAGTGTGTTTTTATGTGACATTCTACTTGTTATACATCTCAGTCCTTTTGTTTATTTATTCTACCGTATTCCAGCCAGAATTGTGTGTGCGTGATTCAGTCTTTGTTCTGGAGGAGATGCACTGAAGCCCGGGCAGGTTTTTCAGCTCAGGCTGAGATCTTGATTAGGAATCCATTATACGTGGCTTCAAAAGCCGGGCTGCAAACAGTAGACATGGAGACTGTGTCTGATGGAGCCCAACAAACATACTACAATAGCTAATGAGGCACATCCCCAACCCTGAAGGAAGAGAAAAACAAGGGGATGATATCGTCCGCCATCTTGGATTTCAATGCAAGGGCTGTCTTGAGTCTTGAAAGCGTATATATGAGCACGAGGGCCTCTGGCCACACTGTGTATCAGATTACCCCCCAATCACACACACCGAAAGGGGCCTCCCTATCCCCCCTGCAGCTATGACCTTCCATTGCTCCGCTATCTTTTTTTTTTTTTTGGATCCGCAGGTTACCTGCCCTATCCAATTACCCTTCAGGCTGCTTTCAATGGACCATGTACCACCAGAACACTCCCCTTTCTCCTCTCATTCCTTATCACTCGCTCTTTCTCTCTCTCTCTCTCTCTCTCTCTCTCTCTCTCTCTTTCCCCCTTGGTGGTGTCCCTGGGCCCCTATTTGTGCAGCGGTCCCGGTGGTCCTCTGGATAAATTATGTATTACTGACAGTCCTGTTCCTCCTGTACTCACACACACACACACACACACACACACACACACACACACGCACTCCTTTACGCCTGCAGCCT